GGAGTGAAGGAGAAAGCTGGAGACAAGGGAGGAGGAGAAAAGGAATAAGGAAGATAGAAGAGTGTAGGACAGGAGTTAGGAACAATGGAGAGGAAAGGAAGAGAATGTAAAGAGAAGAGAGGAGAGTCTTGTGGGTCTGTAGATCCATCTGTGTGCAGTGAGAGACAGAAACTCTCTCCTTGCCCCTGATACTAAACCCTGTCTGTGTATAAATCAGAGCAGATGCATCAGCGGCAGTCAGACGCTGGCTGTCACTGAGCAGGCTCCAGAACAAGTCTATTTACAGCCAGCTGTGGGGGTCTGGAGTGTGTTTAAAACAATACGTACAGTAGATATATTGCTTATCTGATCACGACCGTGTGGCCTTGCTGAGTGACATGAAAACTCTTCAATTATCGCAGAGTAGCCTACAGACAGAAATGGCAGTCTAAAAAGGCCTTGTAAAGTACAGAAGGATACAGATAAAAAAAAGGTTAAAAAGGAATAACAAATTAGTGGGAAAAAAAACTATTTGAATAAGAATTCCGAGCCTCGACTCTCATCTGCACTGACGGCAAAAATACCAACATAATTCAATTGAAATAAAGAAGTAAACACATGAATAGTTGTGGCTTGATATTGAGTAAGACAAAAGTTGATAAACCACACAGCTTGCGATCTCCCAAGACCCACCTACTTCTAATTGAAATACATTGTTTTTAAAATCGTTCTCTGTGACACGAAAAATAAGGGGAAATTTGTGTCCGGGTAAACGAATCAAAAGATTACATTTTGTGACTATTGTGAGACTGGGTTGGCTGAGCGTATTGATTGGTTTGTGTATGAGTATGAAATTCTAATTATTCAAGTATAACTAAAGTAAAATCACACTTAGAAGAAGTAAGATGTAGAGCGGAGGGATGAGGAGACTTTCAAGTGGTGCCCCTGTGAGGACTGCGTTGCTCTAAACACAGTAACAGGACTGCAAAACAGAGTTTGCCAATCAATCAGCATTCATTCAATTGGAAAGGACCTTCCCATTAGACGAGAGAGAGAGCTCCCCACTGTTTCTGATCTCTGAGCAAATATATTCCCCAAGGGGTTAATTAGTGTTATACTCCATACTAACACACGGCTGCAGAAAGACAGGAGACACAGCTGCGTTCCTCCTTTTATACTAAAGATGAAATCATTTCCATTCTTTTACTTGTGTTTATCACCTTTTGATTGCATCTAATTCCAGCTGGAATGTCTCACCAGTGATGGTCATCGGGAGTCCACAGAGCCTTGTTTCAATGTGAAAAGAAAATCCAGAAATGTGTAAACATGGACACATTCATTGGCCCATCAGGTAATGGGTCCTGTTTAATGTTAGAAAGAGGAACAAATTGACCCCAAATTGACTGAAGCAAGTAAGAATATAACCATAAAGAGACACACAATATCTACAATAAGATGCAAAACGACCCATTAGAGAAACAAAGAAACTCAAAACGGTTACAAACAGACCATAAAGAGACACCGAGTGTCTACAAAGGGACACAAAAGCACCGTGAAGAGACTCAAAGTGATTACAGACGCAATAAGATGTTTGTTTTTTTTAACTGTGGCTCTGCAAGCCGCAAGGCTGAAAAGGTTTTCAAAGTGTAATAAAGCAGATATCTTGAAGTACAAACAGGCACAAAGTTATCATATGTACCTCCAGATTGATTAGAAGCAACATAAGCACGGTGAGCTGACCACAGAGAACCCTTAGAAACAGAGCTTCCTCTCTCATCAGCAAATGGGACATAAGCTCCTGCTAAGGTCAACTTTAATACCCCAGTAGACAATAACAATTTCAACAACAAAAAGGTTTAAAAGAGGACATATTATGCTCATTTTCAGATTCATATTAATATGTGTGCCTACTTGTTCACATGCTTAATGTTGAAAAAGCTCTTTATTTTTCTTCTTGGTCAACTGCTTAGAGATGTCCCGCCCCTATTGCGTACGATGTGTTGGAGCGCTAGCCAATAGGAGCGTGAGTGTTACTAAAGTAAGCATAAGACTAGAATGGAGGCGTTTCAGGCAGGTGTGTGGGAGAGAAACTCCGTCTGGAGGGAACTTTGGGATTTCAGCCTTTGCAGACCATTTACATGCACACAAACCTATACAACTACAGGAAAGGGAAAACCACAAAAAGCGTAATAGGACAATATACCCTTTAAAAAGCAAGGATTCTTTACATAAGGAGTTGTGCAATGCAACACTTACAAGACTAGCAGCACCGAGTAACTCCAACCAATGGCTATCACCCAGAATGCAATTTGTCCAGAAGAGGGGCTTTTCCTAATCTCAGATATCTGTGCCCAGAAGGAAATAAAACACATGCTGCGACGTCTGCAGAGGGAAATCCCCAATAAGAGCGCTGACCTCTCAGTGCACACGCGCCGAGCACAATCACGCAGAAATACTACTCTCAGGAGATGGTGGTGATTTGTTTTGTAAGATGTATAACAGAACTAATTATGAGCGGGGCTTTGATGTGTAAATCCTCGGGCACCAGTGCAAAGCTGATACGGTCTCCCCGTAATTCCTGCTCAGGTGCAGCCCTGCTCCCTTCTGACATACTTTATCTCAAATGCCAAATACTGTAAGACCTCCAACAGCTAATAACCTGTATCTCAGAGATAGAAATACGCACCTAAATGCAACCATGCTGAACAAAAAAAGAGGGAACATAAGGGAGGAAAGCAAGTTGAAAAATGCTAGGATGTGTAGTTTGGTGCTGAATCTCTATTCTTAACACTGTATGTGCGATTAAGGTTTCTATTTACTCCACCATGGAAATGAGACACAGATGATACAATTATGTTTTAGTAAAGTAAATGTAAGTCTATGGCTCATTTAATTTCTCCATTGCCTCTCCACAGAATAATTGGATTGTGGCTGCACTCTCATGTACGCAGTGAAATGAATGCCTATTAATCGGAGGATAATTGGACACATACCCCCTGATAAATGCCGCTGCTCCACTTTGAGTCACGTACAAATTAGGCCATTTTAAAAAGGGATCCATTTCTTATCTGGCTCGACTCATGCTTATATAAAATGGGAGCTAATATTGGTGGAAGGAAATGCGGATGCACCAAATCACGTTGTTATGCCCAAAATGAGATTACGTGAATTAAGTTGATATTTCCATCCTGCTGTTGAATGTCGAACTAATGAACTCCCAGTTAGTGTTTCTAGTTGATAATACATGAACGGAAGCATGTTTCTTTAGACTCTTTGTTTACATTGATAGAAAATCAACTATCAAATGCATAAAAATATTAATCCAAAGCATGTGGCTCCATAAAGGGGCCCTACCATGCTCATTTGCAGGTTCATATTTGTACTATGTGTCTCTACTGTGACACGTCTCCATGCTTTAATGTCCAAAAAGCTCTTCATTTGTCTCAAACTGCCTGTGCTGCAGCACCTCTTTTCACCCTCTGTCTGAAACCAGAGCCCAGACTGCTCTGATTGGTTAGCTGGCTGGCACTGTTGTGATTGGTCAACCGCATAGAGATGTGACATAAATGTCCCGCCCCTTAACATATAACATATAATGTGTTGGAGCGATAGCCAATAGAGGCGGGAGTGTAACATAGTGATGTCAGGAAGTAAATGGAATGGCAAAAATGACTGAGAAAAATAAATCAGGTTCATATCTTTGTGACAATTAATGTAAATGCAAATAAAAAAAGGAATGTATTTAACACAATTATTTCGTTAAGGTATGACAGAGAGTAGTAGATTTGTAGATCAATTTTTTTTTTTTTTTTTTAAATAATAATCTCTGATTTGAAGAGGGACTAAATAAATCCTCTTTAGTAATTGTGCGACACATTTATAAAATATTTAAACATTTTAGTTTTTTAGTTTTCCTGATTAATGGCATTACAACTGAGTTATACTGCACAGAAAACATGTTTGAGTTTGCCCTACTTCTATCCATTATTGTGCTGTTTACATACAGGCGCAGGACTTACAGCAATGAGGCCAAAGTCACACGTGAGGAGCAACAAACTGCCTGTAATGTAATTCAATGGACAAAATGATATATTTGTTATATTTAATTGGGAGGAATAATTATTATTTGTTGCGTGACTGGGTTTTCCCTTATTTCTTTCAGTGCAAAATTGTTTTTGTAATTCTTGACAGAATTTTTTTTTATTTCAAGTGACACTGAGCATAAAAGCTTTTGATGTGCAAATAAAAAATAAAAACACTTGAGATCACTCCAAAGATTTGCTTATTATGTAGCCGTCGCTGCTAGGCTGTCATCAACATCTAAAAGCACAGTTTACTAAATGATATATCTGATTAATTACAGCCTCTACAGCAGTGAAACACCTTTTAAGGATTACACAACATGACATGCTTTCCTTGTTAACAATCCGAGACACTGTTAGTGTTGCATAATTGACACATTCCTCCTCCTTAGAACAACCTGACCCCCTCATGATATTTCATGCTTAATGAGATATATGGTGAGACAATGACTACCACTTGACATGTATATCTCGGCTGGAGGATTAAAGCAGTGTTATTACACTTCCTGTCAGTCAGGGCAGACCACCATCACCACCCCCGCTCATCTGTTTCGTGCTAAATCAGCTAATGAGGATCTTTGGCCTCCAATTAATCATGCTAATGAGCCCCACCCTGCAAAGATAATCAACTCTTCTCCCGACCAATAAGGGAAGAGTCTGGAGCTTCACTTGTGAAATGTTCCCTGCCTCATCCTAATCCCCTTTTCTTTTTTCTTCTTCCCTGCTTCTCGCTTTTTATCTGCCCCTCTCTGCCCTTCAGAGCTCCTTATCGTCCTGGCTGCTCTTTTTTCACACTCCTCTTTTCTCAATCTTCTTTTCCATATCCCTACCTAGTTATGCTTCTTTAACATCTCTCCATCTTCTCTTTTTATATCCTCTGCTCTTTGACCCTTTTTTTTCAATAGTTCTCCCCTCCTTACGCCCCAGCTATAAACTCACCAGTACTCTTTCCATTGGTCGTCCTCAAAAACGTCCTCTGGGATGGGATCAATCAGCACCAGGTCTGACACTTGCCTGGGGGACAAAGAGAGGACACACACACACACACACTCAGATGAAGTAAGACTCATTGACCCTGTCCACTTTACCCTCCCGGCCCAGGCTGTAATGAGTGTGAGGTGCTGTTTACACGGGAACGAAACGGGCTATACGAAAGAGAAAAGTAGCAGATACAACCCGTTTCGTTCCCGTGTAAATAGCACGAGGCCGTAACGGAACCGCGGAAACGGACCCCTAAAATGATAACGGGTCCCAAGGTAGATAGATCTGCGGACGGAACGCTCTGGGGGGGGCCAAACGGCTCCGTGTGTACGTCCTATACGATCATTTTCCTGATAACGATGAAGCCATAGCCCCACCTCTGCTGCTCACTGCTGTAGCATGGTCAGTAGCTGCTACAGATGTTAGTGCAACATCTACAGCTCCTCTACCACAACCATCAGTAACAAGTGGACATGGAGAACTACATGAACTAAATGTTGCTAAATCTACCGCGGGGCATAAACAGAAGGGCAACCAGGCAACCATGGCAACCATGCTCGGGGGTCTTCTTCGCTGCTTTTTGTGTATTTTGTGGTCGGAAGTACAGCGCCACTTACAGGCCCGGCATATGTACTACTATATGTACTATATGTACTCCAGCGGGTCGAGCGGTCTCATGTGAAGGGACACGTTTATTGAGCCGTATCCATGTGAACGGAAGACTTTTTTGATAACTAATTCGATTTGTTTGCGTTCCCGTGTAAATGGGGCCTGAGATGGATGGTATCATCCCCTCTGTCTTCCTGTAGATCCCTCCGTCCTCACACACTGATGACCACACACACCAGATCCTTGGGCAATATTTCCATTCGGAGAGGTGTCATCCACTCACTTAATTTTCTCCCTTAACGGCGGCAACATCGTGCCTGATTAAATACTAAATCTTTCATCCCTGGTACGGGATGGTAGTCCGTTAATCACTGCGTTGACTCTGAGATGGATGAGTTATGGGGAATGATGGGAATGGAAACTGGAATATATTTTGTTAAGTGCGACTTTGGGAGGAACTGCATGCCATACTTGCAAAATATACTCCTTTTATAGTATATGATCTACTGTAAAGTGGTTTTACGATGACATGTGTGACATTTTATCAAACATTTGTTAAAACTGAAGATAAGAATAAGTCTGGTAATATTTGTTATTTTGATATTATCCACAAATCAAATTGAAAGACTTAACAAGCTCCAACCTATGTTTCTGAAAAGTGAAGATTATGTCGAATCGTCATGGGGCCAGGGGTTGCAAAAATAAGTGTAATTGCATAGAAGTCTATGAGAAAATGACACTATTTCTCACTTTACTTACTACAGTTGATAAACTACTGCCCAGCTGTTTGAGAACAAAAACAATTTATTTTTCAAAGAACAACATATTTAGTAGGAGAATTTTAAAGTGTATTTTGCAGAGCATATTGACCAAACAAATTAAACATTGCCATTTTGACTGACTTTGCATTAACAACAATGTTTACTAATGTGCACCGTCCCCATTGAATAAACCAATACATATTCATTATTGCAAAATGGCTACTATCTTTTGTGTTGTTGCTTGGTATGCTACTTACCAAATAAAAAAATTGAAATGCATTACAGCTGCCTGAAGAATACATTATTTGAAATAGGCAGTTTCATTTTTAACAGCTATTTAATCATTTTAAACTGGATTACCCAAACCTTTTTTGATATCAAAATAGTATTTCAGCCATTTAGAACTGCACTTTCATAAAGATGGGGAATTCATACTATGATACTTATAATAAAATAGCTTCTTCTGATATTCATTTTAACAAGCCAAGTAGTACCCTTCATGAAAAGCAAACCGACATTTATGTATAAATGTCTATACAATACTTACACATCATGAATGTGGGTGAAGAACCTTCCATTGAGCGCTCCCAGCTCGGAGCCCACCAGGATGAAGGGCTTGGCGATCCCAGCAGCCTGCAGGAGTCGGTGCAGATCATCCACCATCCTGTAGGACAACAACACTCATCGCTCAGCTGCAAACTGGGCCACAATGTTTATGTATTCAGTGAGGTGGGACTAGGGCTCGCTATTCATTTTATTAATTTCTAATCTGCTCGTTAACAGAGTCGCAATTACAAAAGCAAGAATAGCCTAAGAGGGAAGAAAATATTACACAACAAAACAGCCGTGCTTAAATCCAAATGACAGCATGAAGGAGGGGACTGCTGGCCTATTTGTAATGCAACCGGCAGGAGAAGCAATCACCAGGAAACGTATATCATCCCAGGGAGCGTCATCATTGCATGATGCAGTTCCTCTCAGAAAGCCATCTGCTGTCCTGCGTTGGTTGTGCTAATAAATCAAACCTGAGGTGTCACACTGAAATGAGGAGTTTTCACAAGACTCCCAGGGTTAAGGTTAGGTAGGCATCAAACTCCTTGAGATATTGAATTCTGGGAAATTGATTGCTTGCATCTGAAATGGTCGGCCGCCTGTTTCCTGGGCCAGATGCCAACGCTCTTACTTTAGGGAGATTTAAAGCTCGATAAATGCGTTAGGGTGTCAAAGGCTAGATGATTATCAACCAATCCCACTGCGGTGTGATACAGGGAAGGCCAGGAGGGGTGTTTTCAACAAAGGAAGACAGGAGGTGTCCCTGCATCAGTCTATGTCCAAAAAAGTAACTTCATCAAAAAAATATTGATTCCCAGTGGATTATATTTAAACAGTTGTCAATAATACAAAAACTGAACTTCTATCTGTTTTACTACACTGTAGTGTGCACTGTGATTACGTTATTATCTTAAAAGTCACATTTACCCTGAATCTTAAAGATTTAGTGCTGAATAAATCAATTTGATCCACGGAACATTGCTGAAACGATCGCTCTATTCAAAGAATATTATTATGCCACTATTTGGAAAATGTATTAATTGTCTCAGACATTCATCAAGCAAGAAATGTCTACAGCTAATTGCATCTACGGTATCTTGGGGTAAGTAAGCTATGGTGCTTAGTGAAAAATGTAGTGGGAGTTAATGATACACCTTTGCTTTGTACTGCTTTGTAGAGAGTGTCTTGGTTTGTGTGCTGCATTTGTCTCAACTGACCTTAAAACCCTTTACCAAACTAAATCAGAATTTTAAAATGTGTTTTGCAAAACACATTTGTTGAAAAAGATGAAAAATTGGTTATCAATATTGCATGTCTCCATTAACAAAAACTTGAAAATAATTGACTACTTTCGTTTATGGTGTGGTTCTGTATGCTTATTTCCAAATTACAAATGTTGATTTGTGTTAACAATGTTGGGAGGAATACCAAGCGAAAATGCAGTGTGACTGGTCAAAGATAAGCACAGTTTATAGTACAGTGGGGCAAAAAAGTATTTAGTCAGCCACCAATTGTGCAAGTTCTCCCACTTAAAAAGATGAGAGGCCTGTCATTTTCATCCTAGGTACACTTCAACTGTGAGAGACAGAATGGGGGGAAAGAATCCAGGAAATCACATTGTAGGATTTTTAATGAATTAATTGGTAAATTCCTCGGTAAAATAAGTATTTGGTCACCTACAAACAAACAAGATTTCTGGCTCTCACAGACCTGTAACTTCTTCTTTAAGAGCCTCCTCTGTCCTCCACTCGTTAACTGTATTAATGACACCTGTTTGAACTCGTTATCAGTATAAAAGACACCTGTCCACAACCTCAAACAGTCACACTCCAAACTCCACTATGGCCATGACCAAAGAGCTATCAAAGGACACCAGAAACAAAAATGTAGACCTGCACCAGGCTGGGAAGACTGAATCTGCAATAGGTAAGCAGCTTGGTGTGAAGAAATCAACTGTGGGAGCAATTATTAGAAAATGGAAGACATACAAGACCACTGATAATCTCCCACAATCTGGGGCTCCACGCAAGATCTCACCCCGTGGGGTCAAAATGATCACAAGAACGGTGAGCAAAAATCCCAGAACCACACGGGGGGACCTAGTCAACGACCTGCAGAGAGCTGGGACCAAAGTAACAAAGGCTACAATCAGTAACACACTACGCCACCAGGGACTCAAATCCTGCAGTGCCAGACGTGTCCCCCTGCTTAAGCCAGTACATGTCCAGGCCCGTCTGAAGTTTGATAGAGAGCATTTAGATGATCCAGAAGAGGATTGGGAGAATGTCATATGGTCAGATGAAACCAAAATAGAACTTTTTGGTAAAAACTCAACTAGACGTGTTTGGAGGAGAAAGAATGCTGAGTTGCATCCAAAGAACACCATACCTACTGTGAAACATGGGGGTGGAAACATCATGCTTTGGGGCTGTTTTTCTGCAAAGGGACCAGGACGACTGATCCGTGTAAAGGAAAGAATGAATGGGGCCATGTATCGTGAGATTTTGAGTGACAACCTCCTTCCATCAGCAAGGGCATTGAAGATGAAACGTGGCTGGGTCTTTCAGCATGACAATGATCCCAAACACACCGCCCGGGCAACGAAGGAGTGGCTTCGTAAGAAGCATTTCAAGGTCCTGGAGTGGCCTAGCCAGTCTCCAGATCTCAACCCCATAGAAAATCTTTGGAGGGAGTTGAAAGTCTGTGTTGCCCAGCGACAGCCCCAAAACATCACTGCTCTAGAGGAGATCTGCATGGAGGAATGGGCCAAAATACCAGCAACAGTGTGTGAAAACCTTGTGAAGACTTACAGAAAACGTTTGACCTCTGTCATTGCCAACAAAGGGTATATAACAAAGTATTAAGATGAACTTTTGTTATTGACCAAATACTTATTTTCCACCATAATTTGCAAATAAATTCTTTAAAAATCAGACAGTGATTTTCTGGATTTTTTTTTTCATAGTTGAGGTATACCTAGGATGAAAATGACAGGCCTCTCATATTTTTAAGTGGGAGAACTTGCACAATTGGTGGCTGACTAAATACTTTTTTGCCCCACTGTATATACTCAACCCAGTCTCACGGCATTTCGTGTTCACCAACACGATTTTTAATCTATTGATTCGTGTTCACCAACACGATTAGCCCCTTTTTTTCGTGTTGCACAGCACGATTTTAAAAGCAATGTATTTCTACTGCCTGCAGCACGTCTTTTTCTCCGGTCGGGTCGAGGAAGACCGGAAGCTGTGTGGTTCATAAAAACATGTTCTTACTCAATATCAAGCCACAGTTATTGCTTTTATTTGAAATCGTATAATTTCGGACTTTTGTTGCCATCTGTGAGGAAAATAAATGGGGCTCAGAGCCTCAGAATACGGAAATCTGTATTTTTAAATATTTTTTTCCTTCTAATTCGATATTCTTTTCAAAATAACACACTGTTATTTACTCACCAATAACACACAATTATCCTTGCTTTTATTTATTGGTTTAATTCCATAATCTCGGGCTTTTTTGGCGTCCGTCAGGAACTGAATTTCAAAATAAAAATAACCGGAAACAGACGTAGGCCTATAAGGGACATTTCGAGCATCATTGCGATTGTCAACATTTCTGAGTTTAGGATGGCCGAAGACACTACACTACCCATAATCCCCAGCTATCGTTTAGGACTACAGTCCCCGTAAGGTTACGCAGAGCGTCAAACAGCTGTGTGAAATGGAACGAAACCACGCCAGACTATATATATATATATATATGTATATTATGGCTATTTTGCACATCCCTTTCAAGATTTTTAAAGGTGTATTGACATATCATATACACAACTACGGTGTAGTTATGCAATGAATGAAACACTTGGGTCACAGGTTCCTCAACAGTGCATTACAAGACATCTATCAATATGTGTGTACCGCCACCATTAAACTGTCATATTCTGCACATTTCTTTTTCTATCTACATACATAAGAGTATAATTAATATGTATAATATCAGTTAAAAATAAGTGCTTCAACATAGTTAACATTGCAGGAAAGCAATATATTAGACGTTAAGTACTTTGTCAGGCTTAATATTTATCTGTAGATAGATACCCCCAAAGTTTTTTTATTATTTAAAAGAAGACCTTAATCTGTTATTTAATGTTTAAATAAAGGTTAATTCGTTTTTCTGTTTTGCACCTCCTCCTATTAATATCTTTGTACATTCTGCACTAAACTGTTTTATTGTAGAGATCACTTATAGTATCTTCTTGATTTTTTATATTCTATATTTATACTTTCCCCCTATGAAAGTATGTACTCTTAATATTTTTTTAATCAAATAAAACAATAATTCAATAACGTGCTTTAACCACTAGGCGGTGCACACAAGGTACACACAGCCATAATAACTTTGTATTATTAGTGTAGGACACTTTTGTTTTCTTACAACATCTGAAAATGTGTAGTTTTATGCATGCTTTCACATAATTTTACAGCATATTGCTATACTACTTTCAGACTCAGTATTTACATTCTTACATTCAAAGAAAATCAGTAATATCTTTAAAAACTAGTCCTTTTATATCAGCTGTGCACCGTTATGGTGTAAATATAACCTATCTATGAATTAGATCAAATGTAAAAGTCAGCCGAATTAGTGTTGATACTGCAAGGAGACGTATTGTGTGAAGAGAAATTGAAGATGTTGTTTAATTTTTGAATATATTTATGATCCACGTCAAGTATTCAGTTTCGGCGGCATTTCTTCAGTTTTTCCAAAGGTCTTCTCATCAGGGCTCTATAAATAAAGAACTACGGCAGATCTGTAATATACAATGCAGCCGAACCGTGTATTACAATGCCGTTATGTGATGACTTTCAAAGAGAAAAGCAAGAGCGCTCGGAATTAAGTATTATTTTATTCTTTTAAAATGTTTTCCGGATTTCATATCATATAAACACCAAATCCCAGCATGCATTGCGGCTAAAACATCCAATAAGCGAGCTTAAAACCATAGCTGAGGATCTTGGGTAATTGCTCAAAATGCCTACGTCGGTTTCCGGTTATTTTTATTTTGAAATTCAGTTCCTGACGGACGCCAAAAAAGCCCGAGATTATGGAATCAAACCAATAAATAAAAGCAAGGATAATTGTGTGTTATTGGTGAGTAAATAACAGTGTGTTATTTTGAAAAGAATAACAAATTAGAAGGAAAAAAAGATTTAAAAAATACAGATTTCAGTATCCTGAGGCTCTGAGCCCCATTTATTTTCCACACAGACGGCAAAAAAAGTCAGAAATTATACGATTTAAAATAAAAGCAATAACTGTGGCTTGATATTGAGTAAGAACATGTTTTTATGAACCACACAGCTTCCGGTCTTCCTCGACCCGACCGGAGAAAAAGACGTGCTGCAGGCAGTAGAAATACATTGCTTTTAAAATCGTGCTGTGTAACACGAAAAAAAGGGGCAAATCGTGTTGGTGAACACGAATCAATAGATTAAAAATCGTGTTGGTGAACACGAAATGCCGTGAGACTGGGTTGATATACTGTATGTGAAGGTAGCCTCTATTGAATATTGCCCTTTTACATTTACCCTGTGAAAAAATCAACACTGCTGGTCATAGTTCTCAAGTTCTTATCATTAAGCTAGCTAGATGGTGGAATAATTTGGCAAGCTAGCCAACTAACATATCAACTCAGTTAGCCAACTAACAAATCTACTCAGCCAGCTAACAAATCTACTCAGCCAGCTAACAAATCTACTCAGCCAGCTAACTAACACACAGTATCTTCCCAGATAGTATTTTGCTTGTTAAAGAGGAAGCAGATTTAGGTAAGAGCCTTAGCTACACTGCATTCATTGGTTGCTTTTCAACATTAGCTGATACAGTAATTTCCAAATGGCAAGCTAGCCAATTTAGCATCTCGTGCCAGGAGTGTGTGCTAAGTTAGCTTCGCACTTAGAAACTCCAGAGTGCATCATAAACGTCACATCATTTGATTATCTCAAAATATTGTGCGCAATCCTTTTGTATATAAAACAGTTTGAAAGGCTAAAAGCAAAAACTAAAGTCAGGGAAGTTCAGTGTTAATATTCAAATATGTTCACACATGCATGTAAATTGTCTCACGCAGTACCGTTGAGCTACAGTGTATAAAAACTGACACAGCCATAACAAAAAGCCCAATAAGCATTAATCAGCCGCAGCACACACTACACTACTGTGTATTTGGCCTACATCTCACTCAAAATATCCACAAATTAATGTAATACACTCAGCAACAGATGAGTGGGGCAGAGGCCCTGCAGGTTTAAAACAGCCCACTCACTCATTCAGAATCCACTTCAGGGCAATAAAAGAACCGACAACATTATGTTTCCAATGAAGGCTTTGAGTAAAGCAGAAAACCTTTTGTGTGAAACTCAAAATGATTGCCACGAAACTGAAGTAGACCACTCACCGCCCCGTTGTTGACAACCCCCAAACTTTTTCAGTTCCTGTCGTTTCATTCTGCATCTGCCGCTTGCTGAAGCCCAGTCCCATTCTGTCATAGGTACAGACCTGAGCAGTGTGACAAACAGGTTTATAGGGATATTTAAAAAAAAAAAAACACAAGCTCTACATACACATGAGATGCTGTAAACACTGAAAAATAGGAAGTGCTGTAAACAGTAAGTTTGTTTTTCTAACTGTGTATATGGTTTAGTTGTATCTAGGCCTTTCCCCAATAAGCCTCTGACCTCATTTGAGTCACATTTCAGACAAACAACATGGGGCAGGCTGTCAGCCCCGACTTTCTGCTGTACTGAGTCCTTGCTGAGCAAAGAGGACATGGCCGAGCCACCTAAAGGACTGTCTCCACATAACCCTGGCGACAAACAATGTGCCAGCATTAGCAGTAACTGATAAGACAACTTCACCACAGCGGATTTCCTTGATCAAAGGCAAAACCAATGTCAGTGACTGAATGTCCCCTGTGTAAGATACATTCATCTGAGGTACAGTATATTGCTCGGTTACCATTCGTTTTAAAGGGATTGTTTGGAATTTTTGAAGTGGAGCTGTCAGAGATAGTCAGTGTATTACATACAGCATATGGCAGTTCGCATGCCCCCAGAAACAGAGAGGGTTACAGGCACAGAAGCAAAGCACTGAACTAAAGTTGATGGGGCAGCAGCAAAACATATTTAGCCCTCTAAAAGAAAGATTAAAAGTCAAACGAGAGTGCGCTATATGTAGTGTAAATAATCCGCCTGCATAATTCACCCCTCTACAATTAATGTGAGAGATACCTTTCTGATAGGGAAGCAGTTATTTACATCTCTGCTCACCCTATTGACAAAAAAACCTTGATTTTACCTTGAAGAACAAGGAGGTTTAAGGTCTACCACTGCCTTGATTGTTTAGTTTGTTTGTGTTAAGTATAACCTAACCAAAGTCACAAAATATAAAAGGAAGCATTTAACCAGAAAGCCAACAAGCGTTCTGTGAGGAAAAATAACAAAAGCTAGATAAAAGCTTAAGTTTTCCAATAGGAAATAACTGTCTAACAGCAAGGTAACATTTTCAAACTGCTTTTAATATAATGTTCACTTGAGCAGTACTTTGTTTTGCTTCCATGCTGGCACTGTCTGTCTTATTCTCGGAACTGAGCAGTGTCCGCCATCTACTGTAGGCAAAACACTGCCTATGGATCAGTAAGTCACCCACTTCAAAACAATCATCCCTTTGAAAAAGTAAAAAAATAATTAAGATATCATGTTTTGGAAAATAATTTCAATATACAGCCAATCGACAGTCCACAGAAGTTGTGTAATTTCCTCACCATTGTTAGTGAGGCCACACTTTCCTGGACATGCAACCAAACGTCTGAGGACATTCCTGTTGGTGCATCAAGTACAACTAAAGAAAGAAAAACAAAGTCGTTAGAGTGGGCTAAGCATAGAGACAAAAATAAACATCACAGACATAAAATCCTGTGTGACTATATTAATTAATGTTTCTTAACCTGAATGAAAACCAGACCATAACATTTATTCCAAAATGCAATTAGAGGGTTTAACCTTTGAGATGAAACATCCCATTGAGAAGGGTCCTCAAGCACAAAACATGGAAGAATTGTACCACATAAATAATAATAATAATAACAACAATGATTGTAATATATATTAAAAAATGAATTGACACAAAACATAGTGACTCAACTATGACATATACGTGATTTCTCCTAACAACACCAACTCAATATTCCAGTTTGATTGTGCATGAACAGTTCCAAATAACACACTACAGGACTACAGCCAGTTAAATATAAGTTTATTTAAATACATTTTATGCAGAGAGTTTTTCATTTAAAATATTGTTATAGGACATATTAATATATTACCAACTGGTTGTCCTTTTCCTTTACACAACAGATGCATATTTTGACCCAAACCAACATCAACCATCTGGCCATCTGGAAGCAAGAGGGAAAAAAGAAAAAAAGATTAGGCATCACAGAAAGTGTCTCGATTGGCTTTGAGAACAATAGAAAACATAATGACATATCCAAATGGAGGTTATATTGTTTACAGGTTCATTTAAATCAAACTGAAAGAAGAAAAGACTGAGTTAGCTTTTGATAGGACAACCTTTAGGCAGGAGCACCTGTCCTTCCCTCTGCAGAGATGCATAGTTGAGGAACGGAGGGATGAAGATGATCACCAGTAAACACTTTCCAATGGTCGTCAGCACAGAGCGGTAAGACACCCTGCCTTCAGCTTTAGCCTGGCTGGGCAGTCTCTGAACGGGATCCTGGTTTATGAAGAGAAGAACATTTGACAAACATACATCTTATCTTCATATATAACATGTAAACTTAATTGATGACATTTCTGTTACCAAATTTAGCAGGCTACTGCAATAACACAGATGCTTGTAAGCAAAACCCAAAGGTTAATTAAGGACAATAGGGTAAACTACAGTGTGTTGACTGGACGATTTGTCCATAATAGGCAAATATTGCCGTTATTCTATTGTTTAAAAGCGTGCCGAATTATAGAAGTGTCGCTAATGATTCGTTTAAAATACAGAATGAACAATGTGTTGATGTGTGTATAATGCAAATACGCAAAGACGTTTTAAAATCGCAGTTTTTTTAAGGGGGATTTGGTTTAGCTGCTCTTTAGGGGACACTGGTGAATACTAAAGATAGCGTTATATTAAAGATAAAGCTTGTACTGCAACATCAGTATGAGAGCAGGAAAACGGTTTGCAGGACAGCATTGGATCTGAACAGATTAAATATTAGCTTTTGGAGTAAGTCAGCTAATGTTAGCATGTTAGCAACAGTCATCTCCTGTCACATGCACAGGAGCTATCAGAAAACTAGCCCTCGTCTACGTTGCATTACCTTTCTATCAGCATTGACCGGTTCATTGTTGGATGTTTGAGCCTCGGTTCTTTTACGCATTTTGAAAGAAAGTGTAAAAATTACACAAACTGTAGAGAATGAATGAAATTGTAGCGACTTCCTGGTTGGAAGTGTAAGTACAGAAGCCGACACGAGACAAACTTCCCCTTGCGCGTTGTGCCGTCCAGATACCACAGCACCTTTTGACCGGTATGTACTCTCCCATTTTCAGTGCATCTTTGTAATTATTCATGAATACTTACATTGACTGTCAATTTCTACTGTCAAACTTAAATAAACAGCTCATAAGCCCAATACTATACATTGTGCACACATGCAATTATTATTAAATGTTAAAACATCTTACTAACTTATTTTGAATGTGATGTTCACCTATATATCTTATTAGGCAAATGTCATTTTCATATTTTTTATTGAATATGTAGATTATTTTAGATATTATTGAAGTTACGTTTTACTGTATAACAAATAGGAAAGCATCTTAGTGGCTAAAATAAATACAGGTATTTTTTATTAAGATTTATTTCGCCAAATGTTTTCTCATTATATTTTATTTTGTCTTTATGATCATTTATGTGTTTTTTTAATACTTTTTTGTTATTGAAACGGCATGTTTGTTTTTACATTCTCATAGCTTATTAGGCTACGTTGAAAGGCCAAACATACAGTAGTGTTTTTATTTTCTATAAAATGTCTTTACTTGTTGAATGTAATGATACATGTTTGCACAACTCACTGCATTGTGATACTGTTTCGGCCCATCTGTGGGAATTCTGTGTTGAACAAGAAAATGAATAAAAACATTTTGAAAAGAAAGGCCAAACATAATTGTTTGTATGTTCATTTATACTAGATTTTTAACATGAATAAATCAATATTTGATTAAATAACTTTATTTGCCTAGGACGCTAATTCATGGTTATAGTGTAACAGCTGGCCTGCAGGGGTCCCTGTATCCCACAAACCCACCCTATTGTCTCCATCATAATGCATTGCATCAAACAGCAAGCAGCAGGATTTACATTCAATCTAATTTCAGACTTTGTTTAAACATCTCACACACTCAAATGAATTAAGGCCATGATATAAACCAGAGGTCATGACTAAACATATTGAAAACAGACTGCATTTTAATATAACCAATTAGATGAAGGTATCAGAAATTGGAACTGTGATTGCTTGCCCTCTACTTTTCTTAGAACAGCCATCAAACAGTCATCATGTGTAATAATGTGTTAATGGTGAGCAGGAGAGCTGCTTCCAAGGCAAGTAATATATGCAAATTGCTGTTTGTATGCAGTAATACATGTGTGGCGCGCCAAAGAGTGCTGGTTTGCGTCATTCAGGAACTGTGACATCCATACTGATGTATTCTGCATCACTCACATGGACTTGCACACAGCATTGGTGGTGAATTGGGCCTGCACATTGGCTGTGCTCCATGTCTCTAATCATCTTGCACATTTCAGTCACCAGGGAGACATAATACAGCTAAACGGTTTTACGGAAACATTTCATTAAAAAATGCTTTCTTTTTGTTCTCACTCAGAAGTCCTGGACCAGTGGCTGTATTTGTTTGTATACATATGCTTTATATTCACCAAAGGCAGAACAAAGCCAGACCCACCCTGACTATTTATCCATGAAATATTGTCTAGACAAAGCAAAACCTCAACAATAAACCCTGTTTAGATAGCAGGTGACTGGAGCCATAGAGAATTCATTGCAGTAATTAAAAATCCCGCCTGGACTGAAATTATGAATGTCAGGTATTGACTCGCTGTCAGACAGGCTGTTTGTGTATGTGTGCGTGCTTTGTTTTTGTTACAGGGCATCCAGGGTTGATTAAAGCTAATTTTCCCATAGCCCTTTCTGCCCCGTGCTTCTGTTCCAGCTCCACATAATTAGGACTGAGAGCACGACGGTCTCATCAGGAAACTGTGGCTTCAATATACAGTAAATGCTATTTCTAACAGCAAGTCACTCAGCCTCTTGACTCCTTTGTGGTCTGTCAGTCTGGACTGCAGCTTCTTCGACTATCTGCCTCCTCTGGGAAATCTAATACACCTCATTCCATCAAAGATTTGGACTTAAAGCGACAGTGTGCAGGATTTGGTAGCATAATAGATTGCAACCAACTACACACCCTTCCGGTTACCACAGCCTCTGCAACACGGTAGTGACAAACCAGCCAGGGCAAAAGAGTGGTAATGTCGTGGTAATGTTGTGGCATTGTCTGGCACGATGCCTTACTGATATCACATTAAAATAACTTTAGGAGCAACAAAATTCAGGCAACGACTTGTTAACGCACTTTTAAAAGCGTGCTGGAAAACAACAGTTGCCTACAGGTACAAGTTTAAAGATTTAACATGATTTTGGTTAGAAACCTAAAATGAGGGCTGGGTTAGCACAAGCTTGAGAGAATTTCATGTTTTTTTTTAACGACATAAAATATTTCAATTGATTTTCCACTTCAGCATTATGTTTCATAAAAAAAGCTGTTGCTAACAAGACATATAAACTACTAAACGTCATATTGCCGACACAAGTTTCACAAGTATTTTTTTTTGGTATATATTTGTATTGAAGACATATAGAAAAGACATTTGGTACATTGATAGGAACCACAGTTACAAATGTTCAACAGTTCAAAGCTAATAGTGTTCAGCTTAGTCTCTGCTATTGTACATCAATTGACAAGCCATACATACAGTAGTTGACCTTGACTTGAAGGCGTACAATATTTAAACCACATTTATAACCAAAACAGACCATGTAGCCAACATTTAAGAGAGTGTTGTACAGACTAACAGGACAAAACAAAAATAAATAATAACAAGACAGTACAAAGAAAAAAACTAAATATATAATAAAGAGGGAAAGGTGCTTAGTCTAAAACCTAGAGGTTTTTCGCCTATTAAAGAATATTACATTTTCTCCAGTTTTAGAAAATAAATAACATCCCTGAGCCACTGAGCATTGGAAGGAGCTTTTTGGGATTTCCAGTGAATAAGAAGAAGTCATCTTGCCAATAGCGAAATGAAAGCCAGAATATCTGATTGCCTCGAGTTGTATCTATTGTAATCTTCTGGGCACCCGAATATGGCAATATGGGGAGAGACTTTCACAGTAAGTGAAAGTATTTTTGAGATATCCTCAAAAAACTTCTGCCAAAAACATGAATGTAATTGGTTTATACTGTAAGGTTCTATTTTCTTCTGGTGATTGCATTTACACTTCAAAAATCACAAAGTGGTGTTAGTATGTCGAAATTATCCTGCTGAACAAAATGTGTAGGTATCCTAAACTTGTGTTGGCTAAAGAGTTTATTTTCTGCATTATATCAAAATACAACAAGGAAATCTCACTGCTTTTTATCGATTGACCCCCTGCGATGCTAAAATTCGGGTTGGCCTACAACAGTACGTAATCACTGCGCCACTCAATCTAGAGCTGTGTTTTGTTTGTCCATCCTGAGCTACCGTAGAACATGGCGGTGCAGAAAATTGGACGAGCTCCCTTCTTACAGTAGATACCGAGGGATCATTCAAAGGTAACAAAAACATGATTATTAGTTTAAGCTCATTATGCAATGTTGATTGGCCTAAGTGCAGTCGAAACTGGTGGGTTTTCACTCTGACAGAAGATGTGTAGACTTTCTGCAGTCCTTATATCAATGGGGAGTTTGTTACACCATCTTGGAGCCAGGATAGCAAACAGGCTACAGGTCCCCCTAAATAGTAAACACTGGCCCTTTAGTGACAAGAATCGCTACAGTAACGGAAATAAAACTCTGATGTTGTTTGATGTCCTTGACTTCGAGGCTATAGGTTGGTATTTGGCCCCTGGACATGGTGCAGGGTTCAGGGCTTTACACGTCTCTGATTGTTGACAAAGCTCTAAATCAAACCACACAATCCAGCAGTGACAACCCTGAGATTGTCAGATACAGTATGACATGTAATGCTTCTATGTGATTGCTTTCTTTATGAAATAACCATTCAAGACATTTTTCTCGCAACAAATTCAGATGGAAAAGAAAATCCCAACAATATCAAGGTAGGAATGTGGAGTGCATTTGCTGTTCTGTTGTATTTACAGTGACCTTCAATCAGAACGTTAAACCCATGTAATCTCTTAAATACTACTAATATTCCATATACTTTTAGATATTAAATGAGAGTGTTGTAGTTTCTGTTTGTTTGGGATTAACAAGATGTTACCGTGTCCTTTAGAACAAGAAGAGAATGTTCTAGTGCTAGTGAAGTGCTTTGTTCACCCTGCTATTCTAATTAGACATTATTCTCATTAATAGAGCATCTGTCCGCAAGCCACATGTAACATCTTCACACTGGTGCTGCACAGAGATGCAAAGCCATTCCTCCAGTGCCAGGTCACCTTGACATCATCTCTGCCATTTGTGCCATGTCTGGAGGCAGCAGCCATTTTTAACGTGTTGCCTCTTCCCCCTCAGCCCTGACATTCGGCACACAATGCATTTCATCTGTGGTTACAGGGCACTTTTCCTGAAAACACATATGGGATAGGACAGCCAGTGAAAAATGGAGAACAGAGCCTGAGTCTGAGTGCAAATAATAACCTATTATTTTGACATTTCTCACATGTGTCTGCTTTTCCTGGCAGTTTTTGCTCTTTTCCAAGCGATGCTTCTCCATTTTGCTCTCTGCTTGATATCAAGCCCTGAAAATTGGTTTCTCAAATAAATCAAATCACACCGAAGCATTCAAACACACGCTGGAGACTTTACTATATGCACATGAATATCAAATCGTAATTGATATAGCATAGCAGGGGAATAAAAAGCCATTTCCTGTTTGTCTTATCGGCTTTGTCACATAGAGCAGGTTAACTGGGTGACATTTCCGCACTGGGCTGTCTCTATCAACAAAGGCCATCGCCAAATCCCACTGGGGCGTTCATATCTCGCAATATGTTGTCTTGCCTTTATTAAATCCATCTGACTGAAAGGTGGTATGATGTGTCAATGCACCAGCTAAAAGGGAAATCTCATGCAGAAGTTCCGACTGAGGATGGCACCTCAGTCCTCCATCACTTTGGCCAAAAAATCTCAATTGGATAGATTGTCATGTACTTTGCGGTAAAATGTTGTGTTTTTACAATTGATCGGCGTCCATACAGTACTGTATATAGG